CTATATTATAAAGAGGAAAGATTTGATTGTTTGTATGTATTGAATAGGCTCCGAAACTACTGAACCGATTTGAAAAATTCTTTCACTGTTGGGAAGCTACATTATTCCCGGTGGATAAAGGCTATATTATATTTTTTAAAAAATAGGGATCCTTACTAAAACTTCAATAATGTAACCCAAAGTGTACAAAAATTACTTAAAATATTCTTTACATCGCGAGCGCTGCGAAAACTATTGATGATAGAATAAAGTAATGTACTACTTACTAATTTGTAGAACACATCATTATTTCCAGAAGTGTCGCGAGAGCATATGTTATGTTATGCCACAATAAGTGTTCTTTTATTTTAAAATTTTGGTTGAAATGGCTCTTTAGGCTCGCTAGAAAAGGCTCTTTAATTGTATCATGGTATTAATCCTTATAAAAATAAATTACTTCATATTTAATACTGTTTCAATATCTTTATACAACTTTTTCAGTTATTAAATTCGGACATTCCATTCGAGAGATATCACTAGTTTAAAAATGTTAGTATATTGGAATTTAACTATCCAAACAGCGTAGTGACTGACTTAGTAGTTCTTATAATTTTTCAATCACATTTATACTGGTAATTCCTGTTCGATATTTAGCAAATTATTATATACTAGCGGCCCGCCCCGGATTCGCACGGGTAACAATACGGTGACAACAATTAACAAAAAATTTTAAAATTAAAAATTAACATAAACACACATAAAATCTTCCGAATGTTTCGTCTGTGGTGAATAATTTTATGAATTTCTTAATCTTTTAATGAAATACCCTTGAAATTACGTGAAGAAGATCGAAAGATCGCTGTGAAATCTCATCTTTCTAGAAATAGTTCCCATGCGAGGGCATCAAAAATACGTCGTAATGAGGAATCTTTACCGGTAACTGAAAATAGTCTTACAAGCCGGAGAGAGTCAAGAGTGTTTGCAGCGGCTTGAAGAGTATAATAATATAAATATACAAATTCACACTAGGGAGTCGAGTTCTGAGCGTTCCCAACGCCTACGAGATTAGAGGGAAAGACAACAAACGTCAACGATTAGAGTTCGTAATCAACTTTTAGCTCACAGTAACAGATCAGCTTTAATGCATTAAGCTCAACAGTCTTTTGTCCAAATCCAAATCGGAGCCATGAATAAGATCTGCTCTAAGTGTTCTGCCAAAAAATGGGTCGATGAACCAAATGGTATGTGCTGTGCTTCTGGAAAAGTTAGTCCCCCCAATATTGAGGAGCCGCCACAGCCAATAAAAAATCTTTTGACAAATAATCATTCACCATCTGGACATTTTTAACCAACTTTCGAAAGTGCAATAGCCTCTTTCAAATGATTTCGTTTAGCGTGAACTTTTAAAATAGAGGGACAAGTATACAAGTTATCATCATCCTCCTGCCCCTATCCCACATAGGTGGGATCGGCACAACTATATTTTTACAACCAGCTGCCTGCCTGACGTCAACTCTCCTTGGGAAACAAATACCCAGATCAAATTTCAACTCTGTAACTATCACGGTTCATGAGATACAGCCTGTTGACAGAGGGACAAACAGACAGCGGAGTCTTAGTAATAGAGTCCCATTTTACCCTTAGGGTACGGAACTCTTAAAAGGCCCTAGAGATATACTGTTGCACGGTAGACACGGGAAACTTAAAAGGGTCTTTGAGTTACACCGATTGTATGATCCACTAAAATATCACTTAATAGTCGTAATAGGAGAAGACGGTTAATATTTGTCTATTCCTCAGCAAGGTACTGTGTGTAACAAAACTGTGACATGCATGCAATTTTATGCATTTAGGTTGATGGTTAGAGCTACCTGTTTTAATCCATTACATTATTACTGGGACTTATTAGGGTTCCGTACCCAAAGGGTAAAACCCTATTACTACGACTCCGCTGTCCGTCTGTATGTTCGTATGTCTGTCCATATGTCCACAGGCTGTATCTCATGAACCGTGATAGTTAGTTGAAGTTTTCACAAACGATGTATTGCGTTGTCATTTGTTGCCGCTATAACAACAAATACTAAAAAACACAAAATTATAAGTAAGAGGGGTTCCCATAAAACATTCATGATTTTTTTGCCAGTTTTATGGATAATGTTGACAGGAGTAGTGTTTTTGTCAATATGTAAGTGTAATATTGAATAAAGATATTAAAACATAATTTTTTTTAATGTGATAGAGTGGCAAACGAGCTGGCGGTTCACCTGATGTTAAGTAATAACCGCCGCCCATGGACATTTGCAACACCTGTAGGGTTGCAAATGAGTTGCCATCTTCAAATAAAGTGGGCCCCAGCTACCTCTCTCACCAGACGAAACGTAAAAGTATAACACTTCTATTTTACCCCGGTTTTCTGTGAGGTCGGTACGGAACCCTTTGTGCGTGAGTCCGACTCGCACTTGGCCGGTTTTTATTCAATACATTGTCGATATGATGGCAAAAATATATTAGAAAGATTGAATTACATATGATGTCGTAATCACCAGAGACTGAGGGCTGGTGAAACATTAATCTTAGAGAAGCTTTAAATCAAGACATTGGCTCATCAAACGTCGGATCATCAGACATCAGTCAACAAAAAAACCAAAGATGCGATGATTTATGTCCGAGGCTATGGGAGACCAGAGTTATTTGTCACTTTTTCGTGACGTAATATCAAGGGTATTTCATTAAAAGATGAAGAAATTCATAAAATTATTCCCCAAAGACGAAATATTCGAAAGGTTTTATGTGTGTGTATGATAATTTTTACTATTAAATATTTTGTTAAATACCCGTGCGAAGCCGGGGTGGGCCGCTAGTTTGAAATAAAACTTCTCTGGTCGGAAATTGTGATCTAGTAAGTGCTTCATACAATCCTTTTTTGTTTATAACGTATTCTTTTCTTGTATTCTAGTATTCTTTTTCTTCTCGTCATTCTTCGAAGTTCAAGAAAATACAAAGAGTATTGACTTGGACTTTGAAGAATACATTACTTCAGTGTCTCATTTAAAACGTATGCAATGTAAAACAGATAAGAAACATACTTGTAAGCAACACGTTGCGCAGTCTCTCAAGAGATGTCGCTGGATGAATATAAAGCAAATAATCTCGACGCTCGAGCACATTGAAGTTCGCACTCGTCTTCAAGTATATACTCAAGACGTGCCCCATTCGTAAAGTGTTTAGCAGACTTTGTAAACACCCACTTGCTTTTGCCATTTTATTATACGTGAAGCGGAATATAAATCGTTTGGATCTCGTTGTAAATTTATTACAATCATCCCCAAAGGCATAGGTACAGTTATTATAAAAAAAATTATAATTGAAAAGTGAACATTTAAAAAAAAATTTTTTATGTCATATTAAGTGATAATCGCCGCCCATTGGCATTTGCAACACCCATGGGGTAGCAGTGCGTTATTACCTTTTATTAAGGGGGTACCGGCTACCTCACTCATCAGACGAAACGCAGAAGTGTAATGTGTGTACCTCCACTTCACGCCGGTCTTCTGTGAGGTCGTGGTACTTCCCCCGACAGACCTGCCCATTCGTGCAACAGCAAGGACTGTTGCGTGGCCCTACCACATAAGATTTCGAAACGTCGAAAGATTTATACATTTATGTAGGTACAAAAAAAACATTTTTCATGTTGCATATCGAGTACAGAGGCACTAGAACTAAAATAAAAAGAATCATACACTATTTTTACTCACTGTTTAAAGGTTGGAGGCAGAATGAGGTATTGTAATTTTTATTCGTATAATTATATTCACCATTTGAAGATTTGTACATGTACTTGGCATTTTTAGAAAGTCTATCACAGTCATCGAGAGGCATTTTTGTGAATAGATAGAAAAATTATTGTATGGCCATAACATTTTTCGAGTGTAACGCTAAAGAACGTCGTGAAGGGACTCGATTAAATTAAGTTACTACAACGGGAAAGAGAGCAATTTCGATTCTCATGGAATTCAAATGAGCTTCTTATTCAAATACAGAAGTGAGGAAAACACTAAAACAGACGGTTCGACTCCGTTGAGTTGAAAAAGCTCCGAGGTATATTTTTAAGCCCACGATCGCTGACTTTGTGACTTTACTAAATGGCTTTGTGAATAGAATTGAAATGGTGTCCATTGCCTCAAACGACTAGGTGTTTGATAATTTTTCGCGAGAAGAAAAAAGGAAGGGAAATAAAACGAGCAAAGGCGTCAAGATGTATACTTTATTCAATTAACTAATACGAATTCTACAAGAAATTGCAAAAAGCCAAGTACATTTAACGTTATTAACCGTACTTTTACACGCAATATTAGTTTAAGCGACCGTTTTTATCGAATAGTTAAAGCTGTGGATCCTTGTCAGCAATTATTAATAGATGATTATACACAGTACAATATTGTTCATCTATAAAACTATTATTTTGTAAAATTTTAAACATTTTAAATATTTTTTTGGAACAGAAAATTAATATATATTAACAAGTCAGATAACATCAATAACAAATCTAATTGATATGTTATTATAGATATGATTTACAATTTTGTTTTAATACCCAAATGTTGAAGTTCCCTAATTTTAACATTGTTATATTATACAAGAATTACAGAAATATAAACGTAACGTTACATCTAATCTCTAGAGTTAATAAGTTTTTAGCTCTTACCGACAGTTAGTTATGTTCTGCATGATCTATCCGAAAATATGTATGAACTACGTATTGAGTATTAAGAGGCCATTTTCTTTACTAAAAGTATTTAAAACAACTTCGCTAAATACAAGTACATAAAAATTACCTAAGTACATAATTTAGCAGTTTCAAATGAATTTCATTATTCATATACAGTACAATACGTTTTTCTACCTATTAATACACTTAATAGCTCCAATAATCGTAAGCGAATACTTCGACAAGACTGTACAGAATATATACATTAGCTCATCATTTGATAATTCTAAAGTAGTCTACATATTTTTCCTTAATATTGCGTCCATGTTTTGGCTGTAATCAAAGAGATAGCATTAGCGGAATCTATATTATACAATTTAATAATTTTTTAACATAATTTGCGAATTGATTAAGCGAATTAGTTTACCTTTGTAGTGCATATCTCGATGCATACTTGGACAAGTTTTCCCAGGGTACTGAAACAAATGCGTAATGGTAATTTTGTGCAAAAAATTTTCACGTAGGTTTAGTGTTAAATGTGAAAATAATTTGTTTGAGTTACAAAAAAAATAATAAAATTGATTCAGAGGGAAATTTATTTCAATCGAATTAAACCTACGTATAGAAAAAATATAAGTAAAATAATTAACACAAGGAATTTTATAATAGTAATATGAAGGAACTTTCTCAGTGACCCCTTTTGAACTGTAACAAACAAAATTACCTTGCTCAAGTCGAAGTCGATGTTAGTCCTAACTGCACGATGGTGGAGAGGCTGTGGCGGTCTAAAGTTATTACCAAGGGGTGCCTTCGGGTGACGAGCGTCCCCTTGCATGAGGCGCCGCAGTCCGTGTAACTGAAAACCGATAATGCTTGCCTGCTTTTGTGAAGTTATTTAACTAACACATTAGTATTCGTTGTGTTAAGGTTATTTTGAAAATAATTAATTTAACATATGCATGCACATAAACAAATTAGTAAAGAGTGGACAAATGCATAAAAAATTAATATGTCTGTAATAATTTAACGGAATGATGAATATAGCTGGTTGCTTTATTCGCGCTAACTAGAAGTATGTATTGTTGAGTGCCGTGAGAGATGACTTTGATCACTGATAGGCTCATTATTTGCTAATATTGGTCTCATAAATTTTTCTAAATTGTACTATCAAGTGTTGTAGGTCTTCAGCCATTGCACGAATGGACAGGTTTGTCCTGGGAAGTACCAGGGCCTCACAGAATACCGGCGTGAAGTGGAAGTTATTATACATTAACTTTTCGTATGATGAGTATGGTAACTGGGCCCCTCTTTTGTTGGCAAAGTATCTACAATCATTTTAGTTTTGAAGACATCCATGAGGGGCGGTAATCACTTCACATCAGGTCAACCGCCTGCTCGCTTGCCATTTTTTCTCATAAAAAACATTTGTTTTACCTTTTGCTTCAGTAATATATATATATAAAATACCCCAGAGGTTTATTTGTTAAATTGAAAAGAAAATAATGTAAGCGCCATATATGTGGAAATGAATAGAAAAATGTATCTGGAAATAGCTATTCAATACAGGAGCAAAATTGGTTTCGATTGTTATTTATTCTCAAAGTACGGGCAAATCATCGAATCTCAGAAACGATTTCAAGTAAATTGAAATTTCCTTCTCCCTTTAATGTGTAGTGTCGACCGTTGTTCAGGTAGGTACAGGCAGCGTGGCGGGATTAATGTTCTCGACACACGCGATAGTTGCTATCTCATTCGCTTCGCGCTTTTCGTTGTATCAAACAATTTGTTTGTAATTATAGTTCCAATCAAAGTTGGAATGGCTTTATTTAGGAAACGGTAACTTAAATTATGGTTTTAGATCGTTTTGATATATTTCGAACAATATCATTATATAAATACAGCTATTAGAAATATCAGCTGTTTCGTGTATTTGTTTCGGCGAATGATTAAGGACTAGTCCGGCGTTTATTTGAAGACAGTTTCGACTTTGAGAAATTATAAAGTGTTCACGAAATTGGAACTGAAAATGTTTACATTAGCAATATATCGCGCTTCAAGTAAGAACCGCATGGCGCTCACTCAACTCCCCGCGAGATTGCAAGCAGTTTCCACTAACACTTAATTTTCCAACCAACACAAACGGAAAGCATAAACAATGATTTATAATAACAGCCATACAACGCGGTACTTTCAGTTTACTTTTAACACGTATATAATTCACGGCGGAGTCTTTGTCTAAAGGCGCGGGACGTGAGTTGTTTATTGTAGCGTGAGCACAAATGAAAATGTTATTATGGTGCCCTCGGCCACAACCGAACTATATAACAAAACGATCTGATGCGCCATTAATTTTTACCGTTGCAAGATCTTTTGGAGCTAGTTTTAAGTTTATGCTGAACTGAAGTGAATGTTTTAACTACTCCAACTAAAACTAATAGCAGACTGTTTACTCGTAATGAATGAAGAGAGTTATTTGTACCTTAGCACAAAGAATGTTCCAAAAACCCATGGTTGATTAATCATTTTAACGCAATAGTTCTATATAAACTTAATGAATATCTTTTTCTGTTTCGTTAATCTAAGGTGAGATAGGTTTATGTTGAATTATATGTATAAAATATATGTTATCAAACATTTCAGTAATGAAGTAACTTTACCTGTTGTTTTGTGATATATATGGGCTTGTTGATTATTATCCACGTAACAGTTTCAAAGCAGGCAGGGGCCGTCGTTGACCCGTCATAAGTCATGTAGTAGTCCGTATCGGGTAACAGACCCCGTACTGATAACCTGTTTACAGGCATTTCTGCTCCTAAAATAAAATAAATATAATAAATGTTATTATATGTTTATTCCACAAATGTGAATGTTATATTTAAATAATTATATATGTAACATAAATATATATTTAATTATTATATTACATTTATGTTATTTATATTTATATATTTAAATATATATAAATATAACATAAATATAATTCATCGATCACTAATATTATTAATCGATGAAGTTATTAATTCTTTTTTATAAATAATTGTGTAATTTTAGTGTTGTGTGTCTAATTTGAGTTTTGTGAGATATCGACCAAGTTTGCTGCAGATTTCAAATTAGAAATTATATATTTTTTTGATTGTAGATCAATAGCAGTTATATATCCGGGCACTTATTTAATTTTTTTTTTCGAGTAACTAGAATTGAATCCTCGCCACTATTCGAATTGTTAATTTCAAATTTTAAGTGATTCTATATATAGAAATATTAAAATATTAAAAATACGTTGCGAAGGTATTTGAAAGCTTGGACTCTATGGCTGAGTGGGAGTTTTCCTATACTCAGTGTACCGTTTTAAGATTTTTTGTTTTTGCGTTTGGTCCATTGAGTAAGATAGCTGGAGGTCCATGTTCTAAGGTATTTGTGATAAGTCTGCAACATCTCTAGACTCAAATATGTCGATGGGCAGCGGTGCTCACATATTTAAATTCAAATATCTTTATTCACTATACAAGCTTTTGCACTTATTGGTTGTCTAAATACTAACACCAGTTCGGAACTAATCTGAGAAGAATCGGCGAAAGAAACTCAGCGGGACAACTTTCTTTTAGCTTTATTTCACAAAAAAATTACGACATATTAAAGTCTACTTGAAAGACTAATAATACGAATTCTACGCTAATTTCCGATGCGGGCGAAAAAGCTGCCAAGCTTAAATTTGACTGGGCTGGTCATGTCTGCCGCATGCCTAACGCCTTTTGGGCCAAAGCTACTACCGAAAAGAAGGGATTCGCTTCTTCATTTATCATCCGTACAGTTAAGGAATGGAATAGCCTGCCGGCGTCCGTCTTTCCGTCCGAATACAACGTTGGCGTCTTCAAGGCAAGAGTGAATATGACTGAGCTAGCACGCTTACCATCAACGGCTGCATCGCCACTTACCATCAGGTAGGATGGCAGTCAAGTGCTAGCCAGTTTTTAAATAAAAAAAAAAAAAAAAAAAAAAAAAGAATGGTTCCCACAAAATGTTAGACGGGCACGCGGCAGGCCCAGACGGAGATGGCGCAACGAAATGGACGCATTTGTGAGGGATTGGTCCGGTATAGCCCGCGAAAGGAAGGAGTGGAAAAAGTGGAAGGAGGCCTTTGCCTAACAGTGGGACACTAATGACTGATAAATGTAAATGTAAACTTGAAAGAGCCTGGAGCGATCAATTTTATCTATTTAAATAATTACTAATATTAATTATTAAATATAAGAACTTTGAACACACAAAGGTTTTTACAATTTTTTTTAATTTAGTAACCGATTGATTTTGAACATTTTCTAGGATTATGTTTTAAACCTTATCCATTGTCCCATAATAGATTTAATTATTATACGCAGTCTAGTTGTGCGTAGAATTAATTTATGTTTGTTCCTAGTATTTATATCATGCACATTTCTATGTATTGATAATTCATTCCTATTTTTAAGTAACCATCAGGTAAACCACTTTGTTACTGTCCGCACCCTTTAAACAAAAATCAATCCCCTACCTCCGTATTTAATATTTTCTAGCTCTTCCGTCAAAATCCTTAGTTCAGGATTCGATAAATCTCCAAGCTGAAAGAAAATATACTTTTGAAGTTATAAAAATATAAAATAGGAAAACTAGATAAACACAGCTTAGAAATTACAAAATTAATTAATTACCATCAAGTCCTTGATATAAATTATCCTTAAATTTTTACAAGGACGCTTTTGAAATATCACACTAATTACTTCATTATCTAAAAACCTCAAGCGTTATCATTAAGCAAGCGATACTTATCTAACTAAATAAAAATGTTTTGATTAATTAATATACTTTTGTATATTTGTTATTAATTTACAAAATAGTAACAGGTATTTCGCAACGAATTCATTAAAGTCAACCTTTCGTAGTAAAGGAAAACAAGATGACGAATTGTATTCCGAATACATTTTTACAGCTCCTAATTTTAACTAATAGGTTTGGCGGCTAATCCAATGCCGCTCAGAAAATTCCAATTTCCTTAATTAACTACCTCCAGTTTCGACGAGCGCTGTGAATAGGTGCGGCGCGCTGATAACGTTCCGCCGATGGCTCCGATCGTGTCAGAGAGCACTTCTATTTTTTGATAATCCATAACTTTAACTAGAATCACGTTCTTGCACTTTTATAACAAATTATATTCGAGAACTGTTGCGTGATTCGGTACGCTTATTTCAGTTTAGTGCGCAGCGTGCTTATGAAAATTATCAAGTCATTGAATGTTGATCACTTACTTGTAACAGCAACGATATTGAAACGATTCCTTGAGCTTTGTGCAGTGCCTCGGAGAAGTTTGAATACAGTTGCGAGTTAAAGCCGAAGATTTGTATCTGAAATGCAGTTGAATATCAACAATCCCGTAAATAACTCACTCAAGTTTAAAATTGAAACATCGTTTAATTTATCCATCACATCCGTGTTACAGTAACCCAAACCCAAGTTGCACAAATAAATGTGCTAACGCGGGAATTTCTCCCCGAAAGCCTACGATATAAGTAGACGAATAACGAAGACGGATACACGGTAGGATAAGCGCATGATTTTAGATTTAACGCGTTTGTGTAAGAATTTGTCACATAAATAAACACGAGGCATGCTTGAGTTGGCTCGCAGTCGCTCCTCGGGATTACATTTGGGATTTCAACGTCTCGGCGAGGAAAGTGTGGCGCGGATGGGCGATGCGTGAAAAAACATCTGTTACGGAATTCTTTTGATAAACTCGCGACGCATCCGCGTCAACTCTTTTTTATACGAATGTTATTACGTTAAATGTCGAAACGTTTCACGTTAGTAATTAAGGTCTCAATACAGTATATGCTATTAATAGACACAATAGGTGTGGATTCATCGCCAAGTCCGTTGTTTTTTTTTTCTTTCTTAATTATACAACAGTCATCCATTTTTAAATATGTGTCGATATTCTTGTTACCAAGGTATTTTTTATTGTAATTCATTATGTGACTCAAAGAAAAGTTCTATAGCTGATTAGTGTGTAGTAACAGTTAATATCACCTTAAATGTTTGTATTAGTAAGTGTCTGCAATCAATTAGAGGAACGTCTATCTCTCTGTTTACTGAACTAACTTCGGTGGAACTACAACAATTGATTGTGTGCCCAATACCACTGAGTCTTACCGTACTTGTATTTAAACTTGTTGTTTGAATCTTCAATCATTAATACTTTGCCTGAAATTCTAAACAGGTTCTTCAAGATTCTTCTGAGTTATTCGTCTAATTGTATAGGTTCTTAAATAAAATGTTATAAACTATCCCAATTAATAGTTAAACCCTTTTTATAAATCGTTACAGTTATGTACAATAACCATCGAAATATTCGTATAAAAGGGTTTATTTAACAGTAATAAAGATTATAAGTCATATCAGATAACGGAGCTTTGTAGATAATATAATTTCGAGCAGCAATGTACATAAAGATCGTGGCAGTTTATACATAAAAAGAGATTTTATTTCACAGATTAAAGAAAACCTTATGCGCTAATGCGATATCGACACTCACCTCGGCGGGAAACGAATATCCGTTGATAGCGTGCTCGGATCCAAATTGATCGTGAAGTCCGTAATGAATATGTATCTCATGGAATTGATACTTGTAGGATAGCGGGCCGCCCGTGATGTTTATGTGATGCCGGGTCTCGTTCTCAACCGTGAATATGACCGAGTGTCCCGTATTGCTAATCAGACCGTTAATCTGTTGAGTTTTCATTCGCTTAATGCTATCCAGAAACCGTAATTCTACGGTTACGGTACACGGAATAAATAGAATGTATCACAGTTTTATATAATTATATATATCAAGTATGTTCAAACATATCGGTGTCTGGAAATAAGTGAATCGACTCAACCGTTTGCTCACCCGAAAATGGGATTGGTGTTAAATATGAGAAACAATATATTATGAAGAATTTAGTTCCGAATATAATTTGACAGCTTTCTATAAGTTTTTTCATCGTTTTCACTATAATCAAATTTACTTGTGTCATGGGACTTCTAGCAATAGTGTAATGCTATGGCTAGTAAAAAATCGATTTATTACTTAAGTTGTGCAAGACTATGAATTTGTAAACACGGCGTTAAGGAAACATAGCCGAGCCTTAGATAATTGAAATTCAAAGATCAATTAATGCGTTTATTATGATTAGCATTCTGCACTCCTTCTCAATATAAACGCGTCATAGTAACCCGTCCGCGCAATTTTCGTAAAAAATGGTACAAAGTTTTTGCTTCACGTATTAATATATAGATACTCGTATTGTTTAATGACTATGTACATACCCTATGCTTATCTATATGCAAAAAGCGTAGATTTGGGTCGAAAAGCAGCTTCTCCGGTTCGAGATTCACCGGGGATTGCCGCCGGCCTTTGTTGCATAAAGACCACTCCGGGTTTATCAGGCCCCAAAACGCTGGACCTAAAAATTGTAGTGAACAAATTTGAAGGTAACTACTTCGTTGAACATAATATTATTGAAACAATGTACTTTCTTAGTTGGACATTTTATAAGTATTGTGTCGAAATTCGGTTCTTTTTGGTTACACCTTTATAATTTATTTATTAACCTAACTAAACAATGGCGTCTAAAATTAATTCGTATTAAAATGTACAGAGGTTGTTTCAAACAAATCATCACCATCATCATCATTTTAGCCTATTTGAGTCCACTGCTGAACATAGGCCTCCTCCACGAAGTACGATTCTCAGTCACCTGCATCCATCGACTTCCCAAAGTAACAATTTAGGTTTAATAAGCTTTATTCTCATAAAAACTTATAATACGATGTAATTTTTTTACAAAATAAAAGTATATTTTTTAAACATCTGGACCGTTACATAGAAAGTATTAAAATTATGTAATGTATATAAGCTTTTTCAGCTTTTTCTTTAATATTTTTATTTCGTCAGATTTATTTTGTTAATAGCTGTACTCCCTTAAAAAGTATAGTTTTTTTTAACATAATTCATTTTTGCACTACCAAGATAGAGTTTGCATTATTACTTAAATATGAAATATTTACTTGAAAAAGAATTTTTGACCTGACGCACCAATGTCGATGTTTTTAATTTAGAAAAAAGTTTTGTAAGTAAATAATATTTTTACTACCTTGTTTTTACTGAGGAATTATTATAAATTATGTAATGTTCCGAACTCTTGGGTATACAGTTGTGTTCAGCAATGAATATTGATTTAGTATTGTGTTCAGCAATGGTCAATATGCACTTTCCAAGTTAACTTATCATCTATCCATAGATCAAGATATTTTTCATGCTTAGAGCTGTCGTTGTTTTGCGACGTTGTTAACAGTAAAAAAAAAAAGTGGAAGAAGAAAAACAAGTGGAGGGAAAGTTGAAAGCGTTTTATTTTTGGCAGTAAAAATCTGGATTAAAACTTATATTGGGTTAATACGAAAAGTTGTTTGTTAAAATAAGATGAACTGATGCGTTTGCAACTACTTTTACTACGAATTATGCTATCTATGTATTTACTCACTATCAATTTTGCATAGATCGGAACAAAAATGAACACTTGAAAAGCTGACGTAAGATCCTTGAAAATAGTTGTATTTCATAACGTACAAAAAATCATTACACAAAAACTAGTTACATGTATATTAGCATGAATAACAGATAATCAGGAAGAATTAAGTCAGTTGAATTGGTGATAGTGCAGCGAGGTAACGGCGGTAAAGGCATTAGCGTCGTAAGGTATTTCAATATGGCGGAAAACTGCGGCGTAAAAGTAGCCAAAGTGCTTTGGATCGCGTTCACGGTTTTATTATTTATGACCTTGAAAATTGCATGAGTAAGCCAGCGCTGCGGTTGCGGTCACGCCTTCTTTATGGGCACGCGTTAAGTGAACGTTGCTTTAGAGCATTCTTTTATTGTTTTTGGCAATTTGCAGTCCGTAATGGATTCGGGCTCGACCTTAATTTAACGTGTTCTTTGACTCCTCCCTTTGATATTTGTGGCTTATCCGTTCAACGTTAATCTGAGTCTGTCGATGTCTGCTATAGAGACCGGATTTTAAGCACTGTATGATAGTGAAGACATTAATTGTAATTTATGTGGTTTTATACAACGCTTAATTTGTTCAAGCCTCTCAATTTACTTATATTTTTACAGAAGCTGGTCTAACAAACCTCACGTTTCACACTGAAGTTTCCACAAATATACGTGTGTTACATATACAATCATACCTACCGTGCACCAAAAGTTATAATAAGTCTAGCAGGGAAGTTAAGCTTGGAAAGTTTCCCGCAACATAAATCTTGAATTGCTTTTTATATTAAACGCTTTCAGACCAGTAATGGCAATAATAAAAAGAATTGTAACGAAGCGCAATCCTTTTGAAATTTTTACGCTTACCGAAACCTTCGTCTACACAGAAATATTTAACTGTTTTAAACACGATTATCCCGATTTAAAATGTAAGAAAGCGTTCCATATGATAACACACCTCGCGATTTCGTATGAAACGCTTTTCGAAGGATGATAAATCACTCGTATAAATTTCATGTCACGTAAACCGTCAAAAATTTTTGTCGGCGTGGAAAATTGATACAACTTATGATCGTGAGTATCACGGAGAGATTATGGTAGATCTATGAATTAAAAATCGTTATAATAATACCAAAATAAGTATATAGTCTTGATTATTTTAAACATTTAAAATAATTAGTAAATAGTAGATTGTCCTGTTGGCCCTCCGAATAAAGATATGTTATTAATTATTTGTGCAAATATTTGGTAACAAAGAATTGTTATAAGTTAATAAAGCCAACATTTACTAGGTGATTCGTAATGATGACGATTAAATAGTGGTCTGCTTCGCTTTATCTATAGTTGTTTCGCCAGAAATATAATTAAACAATGAAATTTTACAGAGTGTATCGTTCGCCTCTCTTTTCATATATAACAAAATGTGTCACGACTAGAGCTAGAATAAAGTCATCATTCTACCATAGCACCAACGTAATCATTAGTATCAAGCCATTTGTAGGTACTTTTAATTAAAGTATTACATATAGGAATTAAATATTACACATTATTTCTGAATTATTTGTTTTTAAATAACCGATCATAGCATGTCTTTGCTATATGTCTTGAACGTATAATAAGTATTTTATCAAAATATGTACAGGCAAAGCACTCACCTGAAATACCGTCGTAGGTCCACCATTCTTCCCAGCTGACGCCGCTCACGGCTGCAATCAAATCCCTTCTAATTAACCTTGCACGATTCATGTTAGAAAAGCGAGAAGCTAGTTTCTTTAAAATTATACATTGCTCTCTGAACAACTGCGCTGCTACACGGATATTAAATGTTAAAAATTTTGTTAAAAGGAATTCAACTCTCGGCTTTTGTTTAGTGTAGTTAAAGTGTAGTACTATATTTCTCCTTACATTATTACTTCATTGTTCTTTAGTTTTACTTTTTTACCTCTTTTAAACCTTAATTTATAAACCGAATTTTCGTGTACTGGTCAAATAGTTTATAGTGCAAAGATATTATTATAATAATCTTCATAATCTTCTTAACATCAAATATTTGAAGATTCTTAGATTTATAACACTAATATTTTTAGATTTATAATGTGATAGGTAAATTGTTAGTTGCTGAGACAAATATTTGAGCTTGACAGCAGCCACACAATGGACCGTAATTGATATTTAGTAATGATATTTTATTTGGTGATTAATGCACAATATCAACATTGTTTGTATATTTATTAACTAATATAATAAAATAAGTGACATCCACAAACTATTAACTGCAAACAATTTCAAACATTTTCGAAAACCATAATGGAAAGGGCCTATTATAAACTCAAAGAATACATTTAGACTCCTGCTCTGCACTTGCAAGGCCTTTGGTTGTTGCTGATTTTATACTTAAATAATTTTGTATACTTACTGTTAAAAATGATATAATTTTGTAACTAACTAATATTATCAACTAAAGTTGATAATATTATCTATAATCCTAACATAAATAAGTACGCTAATAAATTCAACATATGTTTAAAATATTTTCTTAAATAAGAGGTTTCTTGTATGTGAAACCGCAAAATATTTAAGCTAATAAATATAAACGTATCGTTATACAAATTTTAACTATCTGTATGTTTAACAACTAAGTTAAACAAAATAATAATTTGACATAATTATAAAAATAAAAATGTAAACAATGTTAACGTTAAATTTAATACTAATTATTAACTGCACTTTTGATAAGACACTTAAACATATAAATTTCTTAATAAAGATAAATTCACCGGATTTGCACGTGATTAAAATTTATAATTTTCATTTCCGCAAGTAACCTAAATTAAGATTATGAAATTATGATACTGATAATATTTTGGAGTAATTAATTCGGGAATACTGAGTGGAAATTCTTACTCTTTAATTATTTATGAAGTTAAATTCCTTGTCATAAGATATCCCACTTATTTCAGGGATGCCAGATAATTAAAGCATTTAAGAAATTTAACCTTTAATAAATGATCGGTAAACACTTAATAAAAAAAGGAAAGGTATAATTTTATTTATGTAGCTCTAGTGAAATTTTTACAAATTTCTAGTCTATAGGTCAAAAATAACGTCATTAACAGGAATGCAAAATATAAAATATTAATCGGCGCGGCTGCGACCAGTACGGAAATGTCATAAGAAATAGAGATGTATGTAAGGGGACGACCCAATTGGCTTAGTGGGTTGTGAACCTGCCTCTTGCACCTGGGGGTGTGGGTTCAATCCCCACTATTAGAAAAATATTATGTGATGAACATAGTGTTTTTTACGGTGTTTGGGTGTTATTTATTGTAGGTGTATTTATTAAAATAGAAAAGTATGTTCAAGTATGCTTATCCCTTATCTAATATCCATAGAATAAGCATTGCTTAGTTAGGGACAAAAGAATGTGTAAATTTAATATATTTATTTATTTACATTTATTTAGCGAAAATAACTCGATTGTAAAACTCGATAGTACGGAGAGTTTTTAAACGAAAACACCCGCACTAATACATATTCAGATGCGAACAGTTGAAACGTACACCAATCTCGAAACTTACTCGATACGATACATGCCTGATTTATGCTTTTAATTTAAATTTTTGCATTCGCCCGGCGAAGTTCGCCGTGGACGCGCCGCTTGCATCACAAATATATGTCGCAACGGGCCCGGAGTTGAGATCGCTTCCAGTTACGTTCCGATACGGCCGAAGCGAACTGTCGACTTTTAATCTTTTAATGCTACTCAACAAACTTCCACCTAGCTGGATGCCATTTTACTCGGAGGCTGTAGGGGCTGTTAGCGAGTTCTGATCAAAGCGTGTTGTGATTTGTTGAATTAACAACTATGACGGACGTTTGGAAAATTGGCTTATTTGTGTACTTTTAAAAAAATCTTTGGCATCCAATGTATATTTTGTAGTTAACTATGTTTTTTTTAGTTTTAGAGCCGTGTTTGCTCAGTGTCCCGGCGCTAGCCTTTAATTCAATATACTCGAGCAACCCGAGTTCGATCCCCGGTGCCAGCACTAACGAAATTGTTAATTTCAAGTGCTGAATTATAACGTGCTCAGATGTGAAGGAAACATCGTAAAGAAACCTGCATATTATCGTAATAATAATAAAAAAAAATTCGAAGATATGTGAAGTCCACCAATCCGCTCTGGAGCCGCGTGGTGGACTATGCCCCGATACCCTCTGTAGAGAGGAGACCTTTGCCCAGCAGTAATAATATAATAATAATAATAAAATATCTTTATTCACATAGACGCTTGCGCGTTCTTATGAAACGTCAAAATTTTACAAGAAATTAACACGTTCGTAAGTTACCACCGGTTCGGAAAGCAGTTTCTGTTGAGAAGAAACCGGCAAGAAACTCAACAGTTGCTCTTTTTTTTTAAAAAATCAGTTTACAATATAATAGTACATGTACAATAGTCTTGTTTTAGCCTACGTGAGTATCAACAGTATTAACCCCACACATTGGCGTCGTCAAGATATTCAGCAATAGAATAATAGGCTTTAGCCATAAGTTTACTTTTAATTTTTCGTTTAAATTCATCAAGTGGCAGACTTAATATCGACTGTGGGATTTTATTATACATGCGCACACCTTGCCCCATGAACGACCTGTTTACTTTTTTGTAAACGAAACAATGGCGTAGTTAGTTTGTCCTTATTTCTAGTATTTAGTTTATGTCTGTCACTATTCTTTAGATAACTATTAATATTATTTTTAACATACAAAATATTACAATAAATATATTGAGACGCAACAGTGAGTATATTAATCTCTTTAAAAAGGTCTCTGAGTGTATTCCGGGCTCCGATGTTATAGATTGCTCGGACAGCTCTTTTTTGAAGAATAAATATAGAATTTATATCAGTTATTTCCACAGCAAAATGCCGTAAGACAAGATGCTGTGGAAATAACTGAAATAAACAAGTCTGGCAGTGTCGATGTCTGATAGCTGCCTAACCTTCCTAACTGCAAAAAAACAGCGGAGCTTAACCTGTTCGCAAGAGATGATAGATGGGGACTCCATTGGAGCTTTGAATCCACTGTAATTCCCAAGAATACAGCGGACTCAACAGGATTAAGGGTTACACTATTTAATATTAAGCTAAAACTTCGCCTTCTTACGCTGGGAAGGGTAAAAAGAAGGCATTTAGTTTTTTTAGTATTTAACACCATATTATTAACGGTAAACCAGTGGAGGATACGCGAAAGTGCACTATTCACGTCGTCATAATCCGACACGTTTCGGTCAACCTTAAAAATGAGCGATGTGTCGTCAGCAAACAGTACAACATCACATAACTCACTGGCATAAAAGGGGAGATCATTTATATACACTAAGAATAATAATGGACCCAAGATTGATCCTTGTGGGACACCCATTTTCATGGGGGACCCTGTGGAATTTACATCATTTATAGATACTATTTTGAATTCTATTACTAAGGTAAGAGGCAATGAAATTGAGGGCGATGTCACGAATGCCATAATAATCTAACTTTTGAAGGAGGGTTTTGTGGTCTACACAGTTGAAAGCCTTTGAAAGGTCACAAAAGACACCTATTGCATCTTGTGACCTTTCCCAGGCGTTATAAATATGCTTGACAAGTGCGACACCCGCATCCGTTGTCGATCTGCCTTTAGTGAATCCATATTGCTCCTTGTGGAAAATTTTGTTCATATTAAAATGTACTAAGAGTTGATTTAAAATTTGTTTTTCAAAAATTTTACTCAGAGATGGCAATATGGAGATAGGTCTGTAATTTCTTGGATCATTTTTATCCCTACTTTTGAGAACGGGGATTATCTTACTGAATTTCATAAGATCTGGGAATATTCCAGAATCTATACATTTGTTAAAAATATTTGCCAAATATGGTGCAATATACGGCATTATTGTACTCATTAATTTTTGCCCCACAAATCTCCTGTATTTTTAAGATTAATAGAATTCAAAACTTTTATAATATCATTAGTATCTATGTGATTAAATTTAAACGTTTGTCGACAATAGGTAACATTATTTTTTAATACATTAATTGCATCAATGGGAGAGGATTTTAACGTGCATGTAACATTAATTGCAATTTCTGAAAAATAACTTTCAAAACTACTTGCAATTTCGTTATCTGAAGTTATGGGTGTATTGCCTATCACTAGCTTTATAGGTTCCCTGAATATCTTGGGTCTTGCAGATATACAGGTAATGATGTCCCATGTAGCTTTTATTTTATTACTAGAATTTAAAATCCTATTTCTTATGTAGATAGATTTTGCATGTATACAGACTTTTTTAAATATTTTTGAAAAATTTTGTACCCGTTTATGGAAATTAGGGTCGTGATTCCACTGCCTCATATTATATAATTCATACAGTGAATCCCTACTTTTATATATACCCACTGTTGCCCAGTCACTAAATTTTAATTTTGATTTTTTAACAATTGTGCGGGGTTTAAAAATATTATTATAGGAAGTTATTAGAAAATCAACCATTGATCTATAACAATCATTAGGGTTATTGACTCCGATATTTTTATGGAATACATGCTGTGCTACTTTATCTTTAAAAGAATTTAGTCTCCTAGCAGTGACTGGTCTACACCTGATCTTAATTTCACTTGTAGTAATGTTTCCATTTATTGAAAATTTTAAACCAAGATGATCAGA